CCGAGAGCGTTGCCGGGCAAATCAGGAGGCACCGCTGGGCTGGGGGGATGGGGAAGAAGCAGAACACAGAAGAAGGAGAACCACTGGACATCCATTTTTGCGAGAAAGGGATTGTGGAATTGACATCCAACATTCAGTTTGACTCACACATCTTCCAGTTTGTGTGACCTTTGCGTTTCCCGCAGACTGTCACTGTTCAACCCCTTTTTGGGCATCAGCATCAAAGCAAACACGTAATATACATTGTTTTGTTGAATTGGGTTCGTCCATCAATTGAAAGTCATTGAGGTCTATCAATTTTGATCTGTGCATTGGCCAAAAGCCTTGAGGAGTGCCAAAGTTGTTGCTTTCCTAGTGTTTTGTTCAACGCCCACAGACTCAAAGAACAACACAGAGCAAAATAACCTTGGAGTATATGTTGTATTTTATTGGGCCTGGAAGGTTTAGCCCAAATTCAATAGAGGGCAGTTGCAACCAGAGCTGCATAGACGCCAAGCCAGTCCGTGCCCACTCTTCAGCTACTGTGTCAAAGTACTTTCCATTTAGCTGTTGGAGAGAAGAGGTGGGGATGGAGGACGTAGAGGACCTGCAATCCCGATGTGTCTTTGCATCGTCAGTTGAAACCCTGGAGTGAAACCCTTGTAAGCTGGGACGCGGCAGGTTTCAGCAAGTCAAGTCAATCACTTTCAACCAAGATGTGGTTTAGGGTTTGGGGTTTTGGAGCATGGCCACGTAGTTTTTACCAGAGCCTAATGCTTGGTTGGGGTCCTTTAAAAAGCCGTCGAAGGATTCTGAGACATGTATGTCTTTGTTGAAATTCACTGGTCGCGGGAATTGCACATGTTGAAATTGCCTTAGAAAAAACCGCCCATCAGTTTGCAGCTTTCAAGGACTTCCATGACCTATTTGGCGCCTCCCTTGGTTCTTGAAGAGTGGGGCTTTCACTCTCTTCCATGGTTGTTCTGGGAGATAGCATGAATCAACTTTGATAAGGTCAACACCTACGTCAAGGATCCTGACACCAGGGCCCGCGCGTCACGCTTTGGAAGATTCGGAAGTACTGAAGATCAACCACACTGTGACCACCTTTAGATACAATTAAGATAGTAATTATATAAGATATATTGAGATCAATTCAGGAAAATCTAACGGCGGATGTAGGGGGGACGCGATGCCGCATGTTGAAGGGCCTACTTGCTTTGAGCTCCCAAGTAGCTTATAAAGCGTGGTGGAACATCAGATCGTGGCTGACACATTGCCAGAACTTTCAACCGCTACCCTTATCAACCGGACCAGCAATTTTGGTTGGGTTTGGTTTGAAGCATCATGTTCTTTCTTGACTTGGCAAAAACGTCACGTCAACCATCCAAAGAACACATATTATTTTTTAAACTAGACTAGACTGCATGTGTCAGATTGGGCATCTTGGCTGTTTTTGCCTACGGAGCACAAACGGAACGTGTACAGTATAGGCAGACACACAAGAGCAACATGATCATCGTTTGTTCATTGCGGCATTCAAAGACATGCACAGGAAGCAGAAAGCACTTTGCTTTTTCGTTTGTTCAACTTCAGGGTCTTTGTTGCATGTGCACCATCCTGTTGTCGTTTTCATCTTCCAACAAAATTCAACTGCATTTCACAAACTTTAAGGGTGTGCATGCTCGCGGCACGTGTCATCTTGCAGTCGATCAGCAGTCGATGAAGTTGTTGAAACATTGCGCGCTACAGTGCCTGATGCTTCATGTGGTTTTCAGACGGCTGGGGGGGCGGTGGCATTGCATTCGGTGGATGCTGTTTCAGCAACAAGTTGGCCAACACACCCGCCTGAAGTATTTTTCATGTTGTGCCATGTTCGATGTGGAACAACACGCCCACAGCAGCCTTTGGGGTGCATTTATCAATATGGGATGATAGGTACAGGATCTTCCGCCACAGACGTCATTTTGCACCCTTTATCGGAACAGCGGCACACGAACCAAGCACAAGACTGCAGCAGAACACATGTAGACCCCAAATCCGAAAAATATTTTTCAGACCATTAATTTGCTTTTCAACACTGAGCATATCACTCTGGGGCGGGGTTGGCAGTTGGCACCAGCCGTTCTTGACAAACAGCTGGGCCGCTGGGCTGTCGTGCTCTTTCTTTCGTTGGGTGCATCAATTCCTTTGTTTGCTGTCACTAGACACGGTGAATGGCATGGACCCGGCCGTCATGTTCTGAGTTCGTTTGAGCATGTTTGAGCGGTGCCGGGGTATACCGGCCAATAGGTTTGGAAGGGTGCCGTGCGTTGCGGTCGGTCTAAGGTGGACCCCTTGTCACGTTTGTCCCTCATGCTCCCCGAACAATCCGAGCATCTGGTTTTGAAGCCCGACTTTAGTTTAAATAGTCCTTGGTTATCTTAAGGTCACCTGATGACTTTCTCGGTGCTGAGCTATGCCAAGCCTACAAATCATCGAAGCAATTGGTGCTGGTGGGAACAATAGGGCTATCAATCCCGTGTCAAGCCTGAACGTTAGCTGTATCAATTTGAACTATTTGTTTGGGATTCCTGTGGGGTCACAGCTGCTTCCAAACCTCAAGCCCCTACTTATAAAACAGGCACCATGTTAAAGAACATCCTGTTTTGCGTTGATGCCTATGCTTTCTGTGATTACAGTTGGTGTGGGTAAGTGTGGGTAGAGTCGTTGAGGCTCCGCTCAAATTGATAGTCACTGATAGTCCAACAGGAGGCTGCTGAGAGCTGATCTTGGAAATCCAAAAGAAAACAACAACAATAAAAACGAATGTAAACCTCTATATACTCGCCGTTTTTTTCTATGTTGTTCTTTCCTTTATTGTTCTCTAAGTTTCTTTTTCTATCTATTCAAGATTCAATACGGATCCCCTTGTGACGGGCCAATCTCGATGCCAGGTGACGGCAATTCTGGGCCTGCGCGAGCTTACACACAGAGGAGAAAATCATGTGCAGGCACACTGTTTCCATGGCTGGATTCCCACACACCTGTGGTAAGGAGTTTTGGTTCAATCCAGAGAGCTTGATAAGAATGTAGGTATGGACGGTGCGGACATATTTCACAACGGCCATTGGGTTGTTGAAGTTCCATTTGCTTCGATTATTTTTTCTTTGCTTTGCGAGTCATGAGCGTTTGTGAGCCTATCATTCCCATCAACATACTTGCTTGACGCATGCATCCATGCCATTTTGTATGTTTTTGCATCCATCCATCCATCCATCCATCCTTCCTTCCTTCCTTCCTTCCTTCCATCCTTCCATCCTTCCATCCTTCCATCCTTCCATCCTTCCATCCTTCCATCCTTCCCTTCCATCCTTCCCTTCCATCCTTCCCTTCCATCCTTCCCTTCCATCCTTCCCTTCCACCCTTCCCTTCCATCCTTCCCTTCCATCCTTCCCTTCCATCCTTCCCTTCCATCCTTCCCTTCCATCCTTCCCTCCTTCCTTCCATCCTTCCATCCTTCCATCCTTCCATCCTTCCATCCATCCATCCATCCATCCTTCCTTCCTTCCTTCCTTCCTTTTGAAGACGTTGAATAGTTGATTGTGGACACATATTATCCATTGACTCCTTTTATTGGACATCAGGGTCCTGCTAGACTTGGAATGGATTAGATTGCATTGGAACATTGAAATCCCAGCACAGCTTATGCCTTGCCTGGTCCTCCTTGCATATCTTACCTTACCACTTTCCATTATGGCGACACAGTGATTGGCCAGAGTTGTACAGAGAGTGTCGGCCAACTGTTGAAGCCAGCAGCGGCAGTGCCTTGCTTGCAGGCATTGCCTGCTAGCGATTGTAACAGCTGACGAAGCAGCAGAATGAACAGCTGACCACTCGCAAGCACAAGCCAAAGGCCCCACTGCATGCCAAGAACATCGCGAACGCATCGCATGCCTTTAGCATACTCGCTAGTGATAGTGTTCCAAACGGGTTGCTTTTTGCACATGCAGGCTCAAAGTCATTATAAAATGATGTATTACTACCGTTGCTGCGTCCTCTTAAACTCACTCAATTCAGCCAGGTGAAAAATGCTTTGATACGGCGTAGGTCCTCCGAATGCCTTCGTTTGATTCAAACGGGGGCGAACGCATCGGATGCCTTCGTTTGATTGTCATAGCCGCCAGCAGTTCTTCAGCGGTCCTTAGCAGCGGGGTTCAGCGTTGTTCAGCCGCAGCCTATAGGGTTGGTGTTTGACTTAGTGAAGCAGAAAGGACTGTGTTTGGAAGCAACAAGGGACAGTACTGAAAATAAGATTTGAAATACAGCAGATCTTTAGTAATGAGTGGGTATTAAAAACCAAGGGCAAGGTATAGTATATGCATGTGGAAACTCCAGGGTCGTATTGATGCACATCAACTCTAGACTGAAAGAGAAGGATTAGAAAAAGAACCTTAGATCGAAGATATTATGTAAGAAGAACCAGGGAATCGCCTTGTTATTGCCTATAAACTTTCTGTTTTTAGGAACTCTTGTTGAATTTGTGGTTATTTTTTTAGTCTTGTGCTTCCACTGTCTTCCATGTTTTGTAGCACCAATCACTACTTCAAGAGACTTGGTAGCCTAATTTGGTGGATCGGCTGGCCAGAAACTGGTGGAAGACCTGAAGACCGACTCGGGCAAGACCGAGATCAATCTTCAGCACAAGTACATCAGGGATGCCCAAGTCCAGGTGCGTCTCCAGGTCGGACCACGTTCTGCTGCACTGAACGAGCAGCTCCACGGCCAGGTGCTCTCAGAAGCGCTGAAGATCCACAAGAACATCACCCACCTTTTCCTTGGGGGCAATAAGATTCAAGATGATGGTGCGCAGGCGGATACCAAACTGGATTCCCTTCTTGCGGACATTGAGGTTTCGCCTGATGTCACTGCACTGCCAGGCATTGGCTCAGGTTCTGAAGCAGAACCGTAGCATTACGCTCATCGACCTTCTGGAGAACGAAATCTGCGATGCTGGCGCAGAGGCGGACCATCTGCCTCCATCATGATGGACCATTTCTTTCGTTCACTTATCACTCATCGTATGTCCAATAGCCAGGCGCTGGCCGAGGCGGTGCAGGAGAACGACACAATCCATAGCATCATCCTTTTTGGAAATCCCTGCGCCGGGAGCCAGGCGCGGGAGCATCGTCCTGTCTCGGCCGGCGTCGCTCGTCGTTGCTGTCGTGGGAGTGAGGCCTTTCGGCGAATTCATGCACGTTGCAGTTCAAACTACCAAGCTGCCGTGCAGGCGTTGGGCAGGGCGGATCGAAGCGATTCTCCAACCCGTGGGACAAATTGGATTGGGGTCGTGGATGTTGAGTCAACCATCCGAAGCATTTTTCTAGAAAAGACATCAGTGTGAAGAACCAGCTCACCAAGCGTTCATGTTGATCTTTATGGGGACATGATTCCAGGACACATGGACTGTTCAACTATGCCTGGTACCCCCACCCTCCGCTATTTCACGAAAGATTGCTTCCCACAAGGTCTCGCGAAGCATTTGCGAACCTACCACTACACCAGTGGCGGTACTCTACTGTCATTGTGACATTGCGTGTTCTCTTTTTGTTGAGGGTATCTACCGGCAGCAGCTCCGTGGAGCAGCTGAAGTTCTCTCAGGTCATTCAGCCAATCAAGCATTTACTTGGATCCCAATGCAATATACTGCTACCTGGTTCTTCTAAGTGACCTTTTGATCCGCTGGTTTGAGGTCACTTAGGCCAGTAATAGGTCACTTGGGACTCCAAAAAGGTTACTTGGAAGAAGCTGGTACTTTAAGATCCGTTTTTTGTCATTACAGCCATTTGCTCTCCCATTTGAGGACTGTCACAACCATCCTGCTGGCTTTGTCAACTCCGTACTCAAACCGGCACAGTGTGCGCAATTCAACAATACCTTCCGCAAAAAGGTGGCATGGCACTGCTGGTACCTTCACCGTTTCCCCTCTCCATCAATATTCGTTCTATGGACTCCAAACAGTTGATGTTTCATCAAAAGATCGAGAACACATATATTGTCCTATTTTATGGCACCCGCTCTCCTCTATGTCAGGCCTCATTATAAGACCGCTTTAGGCCGAATTAAGCATCACCTTTTTATGCAATCTATTGGACCGAAATTGCTTAGGTTGGAGGCCATCGCTCAAGTCGGTGTTATGGCACACTGTGGGTTTGGACCGCTGTCGAACACTGCCGGCACCAGTGACCGAACACTGCCGACACTGCCAACACCACCAGTGACCCCTTCGTCTTGGGTGAAGTCTTTGAGTTCGGTGCGATGGCCGGCCATGTCATCGCCCGTTCGTCTGGCCATGGAGTTGTGCATCGCTTCCTCCTCGGTTTTTGCTTCCGCTTCACAGTTGTTTGACTATCCGTCTTTGGCAGTCTGGAGGCATTGCATGGTAAGCTTGAGCTTTTAGCTGGCAGAGGCTGCAACCTTGACAGCAGACTCTAATCAACATATCGTTTCTACCAGTTGCTATTGCAGAGACTTTTGTCAGCCTTGTTTCCCACATCGCACGTGTTTGCCACCTTCCAGCTTGACAAGACACGTGATCTAGAATCTAGCAGGATACAAGTGGCGCGGTTTGTACCACGCTAAGTATCATGAGGTGAAGCGAAATACTTACTGCATCTTGTTGTCAAAGCGGGGTCTCATGGGTTCTCACAGTGAGCGGTCGAACATGGTTGGGCCCTCGCAATGGCACCCAAGAGCCCGAGATGTGTTATGACCCTAAATCGGTGGGATTTGGAAGTAGGAGGCGGTGTTACCTTCAAGGGCGTCCATGGACTTTGTACCATTGTTTTGCTGCTCTGGTTTTGTTGTTTCTTGGTTGAGGCAACAATGCAGGTGCTGTTTGGATAGAGTATATGATAGAGTCGCAGATGTGCTTCTAGATTTCTAGATGATGTGGGTTTGCTTGCGCATGGAGTCAGACAGAGTGTCCATGGTGCCCACTTCTGGGGTTCGCAGCCGAAAACGTCGCAAGGCAAAGGCAGCTGCTGCAGTTAAGGCCTCAGGGTGTTGGAGTTTTTCCTGGAGTGAAGCCGATCCAAGTTGGGATTGTCATTAGGCAATGACTTGCGACACCTTGTGACCAAGATGCAGCGCATAGGCAACTTTTTCTTAAACCCACTGCAAATGATGTCTTGTTGGGGTCAGGACGTCTTGGTACATTATGGTCAAACTTCATTGCAAGATTTAGGGACGTTCACTGGTCGCAGGGTGTTGCATAGCCACCGCAGATCCAATTATTAAGATCATCATTATTGGATTTCTGTGGTGGCCCCAATCAGCAAATGATCCTGCATAGACTTACTGCTATTGAGTCAGCGCCTTTTATTTGATCTGTCCTGTTCTTTAAGCCATTTTGCTCACTCTGTTCCAAAGGTCGTTTCGTTAGCTACTACCAATCCCAACCAAAGATGAGGTAGAACTGTAGAACTTCTCCCCTCCTTCGAGAGATGAACGGTGGCCTAACCGAATCGGCTTAACTTCCGGATGGCCAGGCAGTTGTAGAAGATCTGAAGACCGACGGAGCCAAGAGGGAGATTGATCTTCAGGGTCGATGCATCGAGGATGCCCAAGTCCAGGTGCGGGTCTTTGCAGAGAGGCGCGAACTCGTTCTCCGGAAAACGGCACGTTTGACCTCGCAGCGAGGTGCTCTCAGAAGAGCTCAAGATCAAGCTTAGTATCACCCACATCGACCTCAGCAAGAATCGAATTAAAGATGCCGGGGCGGAGGCCATGAATCCCTGTTTGATTCTTTTTGTGATGACCTCTTTGTATTCGCTCCATGCCAGGCGTTGGCACAGGTGCTGAAGGAGAACCGCAGCATCACGTCCATCGATCTGGGCGAAAATCCCATCGGCCAGGTCGGCGCCCAGGCCTGGGTGCCTAAAATGCCCGGTCTCCTAAACTAGTTCCTTTTCCTTTCGCTCTCGTGTCGCTGTCCTCCTCACCCAGGCGCTGGCCGAGGCCGTGCAGGAGAACGACGCCCTTCTGCGCCTCCACCTGGGCCCCCTGACCGAGTCGGACGGACGGGAGGTTGGTCCCTGGACCGAGGCGCTGGAGCGAATTGAGGAGCGTTGCAGGGCCAATCGAGAGGCGGGGTGAGTCGTATCAAATCCAAGGTGTTCCAAGAACTGTTCTGAAGGATGGTTTTCGTTGTGATTCTCAAGGTCCAACCTGTGGAAACAGGTAAGACCTTGCATGGAAGTGTCCAGCCTTTGTTTGGAACCATGAAGATGGCTTCCAAGTCTTTTTATCAGGATAATCATTGCAGGACAAGGGTCCAAAACACAATCGTTCTTGTTTAGAAAAGTTATGCACAGTGTGATGCTAGGATTTGGAAGTAGGAGGCGGTGTTACCTTCAAGGGCGTCCATGGAC